AATACAAATTGGAATTTAAGAGATGCCAAGCGAGGTTGGACTTTTGGGTTATGATGCCAGCCAGGTGGACTTTTATGTAGTTGCTAATAAAAGATTGGACTTTTAGGTTTTATGGGATGCCAACAGAAGTGAACTTTATTTGGTGAAAGTATTTGACTTCCCGACACACGGTATCTGATAATGATACGCTCAGAAGACAGATGTGAATGTTCTCAGTGCCCCAAGTTAGATCCTTGCAGAAGTTGGCTGCTTGTTCCTGGGAGAACCTTAACTTCTAGCCAATGTGTCATGACGGCTTACAAATGTCGAGCTTAGCGATGCAACCAAAGCATGTTGAATACGCGAGCGTAGCGACTTAATCAATGCATGTTGATTGTGCTTTTGCTCTGCCCCAAGGCTTTTGATGCTTGTTGAACTCAACAATTACTAGTGTCTAGCACGATCTACTTGACCAATTTGAAAGCATGAAGGGAATTGCCCCTGTTCAACTAGTCTGCCCCGGTTTGCAGGGTATTTGAAAATTTTCTTCTGGAATGTGATCACACCATGACATGGTCTGAGATGATTTGCCCTAGTGTCTAGGCTTTGCAGTGGTCTGCCCCTGTTTGAACCTCGGAAGGACTTGCCCCAGATTCATGATCAAGTTCCCCTTTGATTACCATTGGAATTTTCTATTATGTTAAGTACTGATTTGCAGTTAAATTTGTTCATTCAAAAATGGTAATTTTAATGCGACATTCATGCAAGTTTTGAAAAAGCATTTATTTATCAGAATGACAAGTACATTGAGTTTCCTGGCCTTCGCTGGCAAGTTCACACATCAAACTTTTGAAGTTTTTCTGGGCATATTCGCTAGCAAGTTCGCTGTGCCAACTTTGCTGATATTTGCATGCTGACTTGGTTTCTTTGTCATACTTCTTGTGTCTTACGCTTCAATTTTTCATGCTTAATTCCTGCACAATAGCACACAAATCAAAGGAACCAAGATATTTTCACATAATGACGCAAATCAACAGAAGCAAAAGTGATTATTGCGCTTTCTTTACAAAAAGGAATGAAAGATGCCTACATTTGATAGTTCAAATAAGCAAAGTTGTGCATCTAACAACTATCCCTAACTAAATCTTTGCTTGCCCTCAAGCAAAGTATGCCTCTTGATGAAACAAGAGGATTTGCTCAAGAATAAGATTTCTCCAAGAATGGATCAAATGGCTCAAACACAAGAAATGCCGCCAGACACAGGTTCCACATGACGAGAATCAAATAATACACAAGAACTAAAGTCTTAAAGCAATTCAAAACATGCATCAATCAACAATTATGTCTTCTCGAATGAATCACCCTATCTCTCCTCTTCAAAAAAGGATTGTAGAAGTTATGTGTTTGCAACCGCGGGGACAAGTTCACTCACCTAACAAACAATTCCAATATCAATCTAATTCATATAATATCTAACAATCATAAATGAAAACATGGAAGCAAGAAGATCACTAAGGTCTTTTACGGTTGTAGCTTGGTCGAGTTTAAAAACAAGGCACATTTCTAAGGCCATTGAAACGAAATTGCCTATGCAAATGAGACATTGACTGTACAAGTTATTTACACATCCCAACTTCATTCTACTTGTTTCTCAATTGAAAACCTTCCCAACTCTTTTTCACAACTTATTCTTTCACTATTTTTCTTTTCTTTTCTAAGCAAACATTCTTTTTCTCTTTTTTTTTTACATTCATATTCACATAAAATTTTTTTTTAATGTTTGCTTGAATTTTTCAAAAGTTGTGGCAACCAACCATACTTCTTTTTCATTCTCCCCAACTTAACTTTTACTCAATCCTCAAGTGAATGCTCTTGGCTTTTTATGTCAAAGAGGACAATTACCTAAATCAGAATCCTAAACCTCTCGATCCTCTCCGTTCCCTCTCTCATCTTCTTCGTCGTGATCTCGCGCTCCTCCATAATCGAAATGGAATCTGCTCCTCGCGACATAACGTCAACAAACTAGCCGCCGCACTTATCTCACATCAATCTCCCCATCCTTTTCTCGACTTTGACGTACGCCAACGTATCCTTCTGAGGAGCTTCACACGATATCACAGTTACGTCGACGTCTTTAAAGGTAATTCTCCTCTATCCTTACCCATTCGTCAAACTCAAGCTGTAACGCGTAGCTTGCTTGTTTGGTAACTCTGTGCGTGTATATTTCTCTTTGTGTATAATTTCTCTTTTTTTGTGTGAATCGTTTCTTTCTCGTGTATCCTCTTTTTATAGACTGGTTTGCAATCAACCTTTCCTTCTTGAGATTATGTTGTCGGTTTTATTTTGGGAATGAAGTAATGACTGTCCAATTTGTATTTCTTTGCTGTGGATCTGTGACTTTAATGAGCTTTTCATTTTCACCTTAACCTGTCTGGGGACAAGTTAAAGAACCTTCATTTTTTGTTGGATTGTGTTTACCTCACCAACGTGTTTACCAAACCCTTGAAGTTGTCTGAAAGAAGTGATGTCATTTACAGCTGCTGATGGTCAATCATACCTGGTAGAGTCGGTAGCTCGTCATCTGAAGGTCCTCTTTCATGTGAAAATCAACATTATTTGCATGCTGAACAGATGGGATGATGCAAGGGTCTAAAGTTCCATTATATATAGCCATCCAAACTGTGCACAGAAAAAGACACATCAACTACATTTTCTCTAAAATAAATGACATCATTGACAATGTTAGACCTACACCATCTATTAATACCCCCTAGATGGCACAACAAGTTTTGGTCTAGAAATGTCTGAAACATACCCAAACTAGTGCAAACACCTCTTAGGTAAATATGCAGTCACAAAACTCACTCATTACAAATAACCCAAAAAAAAAACAACACAACCGAACTCCCAATGTACTCTATGATCTGCACAAGGAGTCCATATGACATCGTTGATGGTTAGAGCATTGATTATCCACCTGTACTCGAAAAGACTGACTGAATGAGAATGCTTGGACCACCTAGTGACTTGGGGGAGCCACTAGTGATGGGACAATGATCACGCCTCTCACAAATGGTCAGTAAATGCTCGTATATTCAACACTGCACAATAACACATGAATTGCATATATGAAGTGTCTTTGATAAATAAGAATGAAGTAAGTAAAACATAATAAATATTCATACCTGAAATAGACTTATATAACCGACAAGTTGTCTCGTCTCAAATAAAGTTACCTCTCTAATGGTAGTATATAATATCTTTAAAGCAACACAAGCCCATGCCCACTAGAGATGCTCAAAGTCAATAACCAGTGATATGTACCTAGCATCAATGTATACATGATACTTATCCACTAAGATAGTACATTCTACAAGATGCAACATGTATACAGTAGCGGTAGCCTCATACAGAGAGTGTTGCACTATTGACAAATACATATCCTGAATCCAAGAGAGACAGATAGGAACACCTCTGTTAGTTCTGAACTCATCCAATATCAACCCCTCGTGTAACGCCCAGTTATATCTCAACAGTCATACAAGCAATCTTCAGGTTCATCAGCGGAGGGGTGAAGAAGATACATGCAATGGGATGATGGAAAAGGATGGATAAATCATTTGAGTAATCATCATCTCACCAGATGGATAATGAAATGAATATGCCTTCTTTTGACACCATTAAACAAAAGTAGACAACAAGGGAGCGTAAAGCATGGTGAGCAAACAGTCCGCCAATGTCTCAATATCAACAACAATCGCCCTGACTTTATCAGGCATTTGCACTTCAGAGAATTTCTTGAACTTAGACCCATGAGTGGAATCATGTTTCAAAGTAGTGAAATCATGTTACAAAAAAGCATAAATTATCAATTATATTCAATTAACCAATAATAAATAAAAACAACTTAAATTAAAATATTTATACCTCTCATTGTCATTATTTATACGCCGCATGATCGACATACCCAATAAGTAAGGTAAGGTCATTGGACCCTCCAAGGAACCCTCCATCTGTGTCAACATGAAAATATTCATTTGTATCAGCCGGAGTCGACACCCCAATATAAGCCTAAACAAGAACCTATGTATCAATTGGAGCACAACCCTCTGCATCATCCTGAATTGCCACGTAGTCTCAACCTCAACATTAGCAGTAACGACAACATCTGACTCAACATCACGATCTTTGGTCAAACAAACTCTACCTCTTATACACTAGAAAGCACGCGGTATACGAAACTACTTAATCTTCATATGGTGAGAACCATTGGAGACTATTCTACACGCTCTAATCTCCATATGATTGTATCCATCATCTCCACTAAAGCTCTCTACAACTTCCCTCTCGCTCAATCTAAGAATAACTTTGCCGTCTCTTCTTTTTCTCCCTACACACTAACAAAATCAAAAAAAATAATTTAAAAATTGACTTACCATATTTTTTTTATCACATCCCTACTTATACTGACATTTTGAAAGTTTCAATATCCATATGTATTTTTACTGACTATTTCAAAATTGTCATTTAAAATACATACATAAATACCAAATTAAAAAAAAAAATCGTTAAAAATGTAAACAAAACATTAGATTATTCCAAATATTTTTAAATTGCCGATATAAAACTATAAATATAACATCACAATTTAAAAAAAAATCATAAAAAAATAAATTTTTGTTAAATATTCGATATTCCATAAAAATAAAAAAAAGGTATAAATGCATAAACACTAAATATTGTATATTAAAAAAAAAACTGTTTTTTGAAAAAATTTAAAAAATGTGAATATGATAAAGCTATGATGGTATTATGGTAAAATTACGCTGTGTGGGGGTTCAGGCCCAAGTGAGAGGGTGCTCGTAGATTTCTCATAAACTAACGAGGCTGCGCTGTTGTTTTAAACCCTACTAACAATCAAACGTAGTCGAAGACAGTAAACACCGCAGCCATCACCGCTCACGGCAGAGCCCTAACACAATCACCCACAACTCCATTCCTGAAGAGAACCTCTATACAACATGTCGTCTCTGAGAAACGCCGTCCCCAGACCTGCTCACAAAGAGCGCCCCCAACCGTAACTCTCCCTTTCACTCTTCACTGCTATTCTCTTCGCATAAATCATCACACAGTTTCCCTAAATTTAATTTTTTTCTCATCAGGTCTTCGAGGAAAAAATTCGGAGTGCTCGAAAAGCACAAAGACTATGTCGAACGTGCAAAAGCCTTTCACACGAAGCAGGACGCTTTGCAGGTACATCAATTTCACCCATTCTATGCAATATTTCACCTTTTTTTTTTTTTTTTTTTAATTTAAGCTTTTAATCAATTTTTTCTTCTACTGTTTCACTCACAGAAACTTAGGGAAAAAGCTGCAAACAGAAACGAGGATGAGTTTTATTTTAAGATGATTAAATCAAAAACTGTTCGCGGAGTTCATACACCACTGTAACAATTTTCTCTCATTTTTTATACGGCTAGTTTGCTGATTGTTGTTGTGCTTAGATTATGGTTTTTGGTTTTGTAGGAATGAGGATAACAAATACACTCAAGAAGAACTTATATTGATGAAAACACAGGATATGGGTTATGTTCTTCAAAAGCTTCAAAGTGAGAAAAAGGTGGTTGAGTGTACTCAATTTCTTTCTTTTGTTTTTTCAATAATTGTTTATGGAATAATTGGTAATGTGGGTTTTACTGATTTTCCTTGCAGAAAGTTGAATCGCTATCTGCCACGCTGCACTCTACTGGTGAAAAGAAAACGAATAGTCATGTTTTTTTTGCTGAGGACAGGTTTGAGTTTTTGAACTGTCTTTTATAACTAGCATAGGTCGGTTTTTCAATTTTCATGTGTATATTGTATCGTATAAGATTGGTCTACCTGATGCTTTACGTGCTTCTACCTTGTCTTTTTTGAGTTGTAGTTTTACATTTTTATTCTTAGTTCTTACCTTACAAATTAGAAGAATTCATTGCTTAGATTTGATGGATGGGCTTTGTGAATGTTACGAGAACTTAATTCATCTTCAATGCCAAATTTGTACCATAGTTTATGCTTAAGCTAGTGAGCTTGATTAGGCCATTGACTCATATTGATGAGTTGGAATCAATGATGTGAAAATTGAGATGCTACCTGGGACCAGGAGGGGGTTGAAATATCGTAACACGAGGATCGTAGCACAAATCGTAAGGTTCTGTCAGTAAGGGAAAACCATACTCATGCGCGCACACACACTCCCACACAATCACATTTGCATAAAATATATCATAGATGAAGAAAATAACCTCTAAATCACCAAATAATAACTCTAAGCAAAGTTCATAAACAACTCGAGTGACTAAGCGTAGAATAAATCAAATCTAGAAACAACAATTCTAGATATCTAGTAATTATCTAATCTCAAATCAATATAGTATCCACATACTTATCCTCATTCCACATACATGCCATCATCATTAATATGACTAGGATGAACATCCAAACCGTAGTCATCACACACCAACACCAGTGACATCTTCTCGAACATCAAGTAATTTGACTTCATCTATATTTTCATTCTCCTTTACATTCTCAAGCCATTAATCTTCAGGATTAATTTCCTCATAATAATAGTTAGCTGTTTTCCAAATTTTAATATTTTTCCCTAACTTGTATTAGCCATCACATAGGCCACTCCATTAGTTTTTTTTTTTTTTTTAATGTTGCTTTAAATGGTTCCTTTTCTTAGTGTGAACCGAAACAATTTAAAAGAGAGTTTAAAGATAAATGCCCGTAGGGATTTTGAAGAATGAATATCACCCTAATTAGGAGAAAAACAAGCTCACGCAATTCACAATGTTTATCAATAATCAGATTTTCCAGGAAGGTCCCATCATTACTCTTTTGCAAGTTTATTAGACTTCCATTCTTCGGATGCAAACATATTAATTAACTAGTGATGCCTTGTTCTCATTCAAACATTCCAATGTCAGTTGAGATGTGGCAAAAAGAATTCTTGAATAAGCGTTTGTGGTCTGCCTATCACTTACAATCATATGTTTGTGGAGTGTTATCTTCTCGAAATCCTTTAACAAAATATACCCCTCCACAAAGACTAAGTATGTTTGGATTGGTGGTATGAGATGGAATAGAATGGAGTGGTAAGTAATGAGATTTCATTGTTTGAATTTGAAAATAAGGGATGGAGTTGAATGGAACATGATGGAATCCATTCCATCCAATCCTTTAATTTTCATTCCATCTGATTTGGGGTGTATGCAATGAAATAAACTAATATGTTCGGTTCCGTTCCGTCAAATTATAAAAAAATAGTCAAACAATGGAATGAAATCTATGTTCCATTCCACTCCGCTCCACTTCATTACACCATATTCCATTCCACTCCGCTCTGTTCTATTCCATCAATCCAAACATAGCCTAAGAGACAGCTGCAATTGTTTAATTTTAACAAATTATATTTAGTTAGTTTGGTTTCAAAATATGTGCTAATGTGCTATGTTATTTGGATGTAGTCATATTAGAAGGTCCTTTCATTGGGCAAACCCATTGTTATTTTTGAATTATTGATCAATAAGTTATTTTTCCTTGTCTTCTCCTTTCTCCTCTCTTCAGTATTATTGTTATTTGTTATGTTGCATGTGCGCATTAGTAGTAGTAGTAGTAGATTTATCCTCAGTCCTTAAGTTTATTTTGAATGAATTTCTTTTATCATCATCTATGGAAATGCAGGGAAGAGGCTAAAGAGTTAAAATTAAAACACTCAAAAAGAGAAATTCCATCTACTTCTGGTGATGTTCCTGTTAATATTAAAAGGTAGTACATCCCTACATCCTATTACACAACTTCTAAAAAAAAAATGCCAGCTCTAATATTTTTTAAAGGATATGGTATACTGAATATTTTATTTGTTCTGTTCAATGCACTTTAAGACTGTTAATTCTGTAAATATCTTAACTTTAATAAATGCCCAAGTATTAGGATATTCTGTACACTAGTGTGTTGGCTGAGCCGATGCAGTATTTTATTTGTTCTCTTCAATACACTTTAAGATTGTTAATTTTGTAAATATCTTAATTTTGTAAGTATTAGGATGTTCTGTACAGTAATGTGTTGGCTGAGCCATTGCAATTTTTTCATCTCTGACTCTTTGGTGGGTTCATGACAACTCATGACTGATTAAGCTTGATCTCTTTAAAAATTTGTTTGGCTCATATTTATGGAAAAGAAGACCGTGATAATTAAGTTTTGCATGGGATATTTGTTCCTAAATATTACTATCTCCATGAAACCAAACAGCAACCACACCCTATCCAAACACGGTTTCAGGCTGTGGTCATGAATGATGAGTTTAATATCATATGTTTATTTAAATATATCTTGTTATGTCATTTATCATTGACACCAAAGATAAGATTTGATAGACAAGTGAAAACAGGAAAAAATAGAATGGTGCCAATATTTGATTTGAAGAGGGAGTACCAATATGCAACATGGATATTCTTGAGGGTGGATGTGGATGATTCCCTCAGAGTTGACCCAGTAGGCTGATTTCACTGAGAAAGTAGGATAAAAGAACAGCGGTGACATGTTTCATTCGTGATATTGTCAGCCGGCATGATTAGCAGAAAGGGACAAATAGTGGTAGGTCTTGGGCAGTGCTTCGTGGGAGCTTGGGTTGTAGGCGATCTGGTTTTATACTAATGAGGGGGTGGGGGATTTAGGAGATTGAGTGTTGTGGTAGATAGAGAATGTTGGCAGTCATAAGTAGGGACCTTTTAGTAATTTAAAGAAAAATACAGAATGCACTCTTTCTGTTAAAAACTCATTATTTAGAATCACTATCATTTCCTGCTTCTTGGCTATGTTGAAGCATTTTCACTCTGTTGATTCTGTGGTGATATTGCTCATCGAAAGTCGGCTTGTCCTGTATTGTGATGTATCCACTGCTAATTGCTTAGAAAGACTGTTATTGTTTCGATTTGTTCTTTTGTCTCATCTTGATTTCGAGCACCATGTGGGATTTCAAGAATTTTTTGTGCTATGCACAGGAAAACAGAACGATCATACAAAGAGTTGGAAGCCAGGAAAACTAGAGTCAGCCAGCTGGAGAAAGTCTACATGGATATGGCACTGACGAAGGAGTTGCAGGTATTGATATTTTAGATTTCCTTAGCATGAACCCATTGTAGTCTTGCAGAATACTCAGAAAATGTTCCGTATATGAACAGAAAAATGGTAGAAAGCGCAAACTACGTCCAGATGAAATTGTCAACCCAACCAATAGACCGGTTTACAAGTGGCGTGCTGAAAGAAAGCGATGAAAGAGTTGATAAAATGTTGAGCTGTTTTTTTTCTTTCTTTTTGCCATTTATCATCTTGTTATATAATGATTAATTACTTCCATCTTGGGGACTGAAGTTTTATAATTAAGACATTTTAATTTATTTGTCTATAATTTTTGCTGGTAATTCATTTTTTGAGGTAATTTCAATCAAATCAATTGTAAGCATGATCTTAATTATTTCACTTTAAACTTTAGAGACAACTTTGTTTTGATAGAATTTTATATTTATATATTTAATTATTTAACAATTTATATCAACAAAATGAGTTCTTAAATTTAGGTCTCAGTCTCTGTAGTTAGGTTCCCAACAGTGCTCCCTGCTGTGCCCAAACAGCTCCCTCAGTCTTTATAGAGCAAGATTGTTTTGGTGAGGTAGATTAATTTGTAACTATAACAACTAGATTAATTTGTAAATAAATTAATATAGGTGGGGTAGATTCAATAACTCGATAAAATTCATCTAAATTGACCCAAAAAATGACAGTTGAATCAGATTATTGGGTGAACGTAGTTTTTTAAGATGAAAAGTCATTCGAAATAATTGAGTTATTGATATTTTGCATCTGGTTAGTCTCTTCAACAAGAGTAAATCCAATAATACTGGTAAAACTCATCCAAATTGATTCAAAAGAATGAATTTGATGAGTTATTGGGCGAACACAGTTTTTTAAAATGAAAAATTATTTAAAATAATTGGGTTATGGGTAAATCTACCCAATCCACAAAATTCATGAGTTATTAAGTGACTATTTTTTATAATTTGATGAGTGATGATTTTTGTCTTTAATCTTTGTTGTTTCAATTACAATCTTTTGAACATATTTTATTCTGTAAGTAATGATTTTAACTTATTTAGAATGTCTCAATTTGATTATTTCGATTTAATTATTGTATGTTGCAAGTATTTTATGTAATTTTAAATAATATAACTTTGGTTTTCAAGTATATTTCTGAAGAATTTTATAACGCACTCGTACATTTGATGTTTAAATAGTAGAAAAATAGGTTAAACGATGTGACACAATTTATAATGATATAAGTAAGAAAAACGGAAAGAAAAAATTGTGTAACAAACTACCCAACTCAATCTGCTCATAAATTTGTGATTTTATCCAAACTGATTCAATGATATCATGGATAGTTATTTTACCTCACCCAAACCCATATATCATATATGAGTTTAGTCATAGTTTTGGCTAAATTCAATCTAAATCAAAGCATGTAGACCCATACTCTTAACATAAAAGAAAAACAAAATTTTTTTTTGGGAAGAGATGAATAAAAGTAAGAATATATAAATCTTTATCTTTAAAAGATTTTTTTTAATAGAATAACATATAAATTTTTATTATTAATATATTTTTAATATTTAAAATATTATAATAATATTTTACTCTACTTTGACTTTAATTTACACATATTTATTTAGTGCAATCACATTTCAAATGATTTTGAAAATAAAGATCTTCAATCTGAATCCTCTTTAAATGTACACAACCTCTATTTCTGAATCTTTGTAAAATTTTTACTCGACTTCGACTTGAATTTACAAGCAACAAAACATAAATGGGTAAACCCTATGAGACAAAGACAACTTCACTAACTATTTCTCTGACTTCTTCTGGTGCGATAGTGGTTTATCACTTGCCAAGTTACAAATAGCGCATAATATTTTAAATTTTTATATTAAAACTTTGTTTCCATATCTTTCTAACAATTTAATTTAATTTTTTTGTTATGGCTAAAAAATTTTGTTGATGAAAAATTAAATTAATTAATTAATTATTTATAAAAAATGTTCTTTTTTTTTTTCAAATGACTAATGTTTAGGTTTGATATTATGCTCTATGTATAACTGAAGTATTTATTGGTAAGTTTTCTCTAGAGGTGCAAAGTTGTCTCGCGACGCATGCTACAATATAGATATCATCCCAACGATTGAAACCTTTGTAAGAGATTGAAAGTTGGGAAGGGACATGCACAACTCTCATTCTCGTCGTCCCCATTTCTTTGGCGTTGTACTCTTGGACACAATCAAGCTTTATTTGACTCAAGGCGTTCCTTGAAGGATTCTCTAGAGAACCACTTTCGTTCCTTCTATTTTGCGAGTCTTTGATTGAGGATTCATCACAATTCTCCATCAACGTGAGAGACAAAGTGGAAAATCAGAAGATAGATGTAATACCCCAAATTTTACCCTTATATTTAGTCAGTCGTTTCACATAGCATCTCATCTGTGCATCTGCTAACCACTATCAAGTCATGGAGGTGTTTTGTTTTGCAGGATTGGTTCCAGGGGTATTTTGGTCATTTTACGTGGATTCCGCTAATTCTTTGAAGACGGGCTGTTACTAAGCTTTGAGACACTTGAGACACTATTTCTGAGGCATTTATTTATCACATGGTTTGATTATATCAAGGCGTCAATCCGATGTGTTCGGTATCGAAATCTGTCGGACACAACTGGATTTAAGGTCCATTTCATCGCTCATGGTTTATTTCCAGAGCATTTCCGTTTCTGTTAATAAGGCGCAGTTTAATTGGGTATTATTGGATTGTTGCTCATAGCATTTGGTCAGTGGAATTCAATTACGGGCAATGTCATCGTTGATACTGAATCTGTTGTGATTACGGCGCACATCCGCGTTTGGTTAGAAAATGAGGAGAATATTGTTGGCTAGAATCTAAGTTGGAATGCAAGTGAATGTAGTCAGGTGATGAGATTAGGACTACAAACGAGACAAGTACATGAACAAGAATATCATTCGTGAATATTTATGGTTTATGACTAGAATAATGAATTTAAATATTTGTGGATTTATTCACAAATGTTTGTAATTTATAACTAGAAATAAATATAAATAGATTCAAAGTTGAATGATCATGGATATAAATGAAAATTTTTGGAATTTTTATTTCATAAGAATATCATTGTACAAAAGGAAGTGAATCATTTCACATTTGAATTGGTGTAAGATTACATTTACAGATGTTACTTCTATCCTAAAAGTCCTAAGATCCCTAAGCTTCAAAGTGGTCTTCATGTTATTCCCTTTGAGTTCTTCATACATCTCAATTACCTGAAAAATAGAGAAACAAACAGAAGCAAGAAAGGGTTAGAAGTTATCTTCGACACTCTCAGAACAACGTCATCACTGAGTGCCGAGAGTGGCACGACCTAAGCCGCATCCTACCCCCGTTACCGATCCACACCATCAGCGTCAGATCAAGAAATTTCCGTTCTTATCAATACGGGACAGCCAAGAAAGAGAGAGAGTAAAAAGAAGTTTCGGGTCGAAATGGATTTTGCCGAAAGATTGCTTCGAAACCAATACGTAATTGGAATCTATCAAGTAAATCCGGATGCCAACAGATTGCTAATTAGATCCATGGATAATCCACAACTGAATGTAGAAAATCCAAACCATACGGATATCCCAGATCAGAGAGAGGACTTGTCTGCAAAAATCCAACAAATAATATCAGAATCAAAGTCCATATCAGAAAACTGAATCCACAGACAAACCAAATCTGAAAATGAGCCAATAAATCCGCAAGTGATTCCTCTGAAAAAGTCAAAGCATCAGTATCCGAAAATAGAATGGCAAGTACATTAAAAGAATCAGGTTCAAGTCAATTCGAAAACAAGAAAGGGCAGAGGTCCAGTTCACAAACCACAGCAGGAAATGCAAACTCAATCAAAAGAGCAAGATAAACTCACATAATCACATTCACCTAATCAGCTCAGGGCAAGCCTCAACCAAGGGTGCAAGTCACAATGAAAAGCCAACAAAGCAGTTCATATCAGTGAAATCCCACGGCCAAACTACCTCAAATCGCTATGAGCATGAGGGCTCAGTTCAGAACATCACTGCCCCGGCAAATAAGTGCACCAGTCGCTAACATAGAAAAAATCAGACAGAAGCAGCAAGGCATGGATAACCAGAGATCAAACCTATATCAGAACCATATCAGTTCACAAGCCCAGAAACCATGACTCTGAACCAAATTCAAACAAGCAAAGAACACAGCAGAGACTATCCAAAGCAACTGTCGAAACATGGTTAAAGGCAACCGCGGTATCATCGATTCCCTCATCAGGCTCAGACAGAGCGTCATCATCGCCGTATACCCCTTCTCGCCAGTTTGGATTCAACCAAAGCATCCATACCAAATCTGAAAGAAGAAGAAGAATGTTAGTGAACTCGCATCAGGCATGAATTTTGAAGTAAGACGTGACTCAAAACAAATATCAGACAAATCACAAGGGTCCACATCCGATAAAAATCAAATCCAATCAAGTGAACCCAAAAAGGAAAGTCAGCAAGCAAATCACAAAAGCCCGCGTTTGAGAATCCATCAGGGATCAAATCTACATCTGCAAATATCAAAAGAAAATCCAATCAAATCAGCAATAATACAAATCGCATCCAAAAGAGGAATGATCCCAAGTCAAATCCAGAATATTATTCAGTATCAGAAAAAAAACGTAAATCCAATATCCAATTAGGCCCAGAAAATCGAAGATCAGAAGAGTATAAGAGAGAACAACATCACCATGTTGAAACCCTAACGGGCTAACGGCGAAAACCCTAGAGGGAGAGAGGACAAATCGCGAACCCTAGCGGGAGGGAGTGGAAAGCGGCCGCGAGATCGAAAGGAAGAAACCCCAGAGCGAACAAACCCAACGAAGGAGGTCCGCCGACGCCGTTTCATTCAACGACGGGCAAACATCCGTTGAGGCTCAGATTTACAACATCATCGCCCTTGTTCATCGATAGTCACCAGCGAGAACCAATTATAAGCCATCATTCCATTATCAACATATTAACATGTTTTTCTGTTCTTTTAGCGTGGAGAAGATGATATGAAGGAAAAGAGGCGAAACATGGCAGAGGCGAGAAAGACGAGAAACGAAATGAGAGAGAGACAGCCGCGGGGATAATAGGGTTCCGAAACCCTAAATTTGGTTTTTGT